TTCTACACATGAAAGCTATACGTATTGCCACCAGGGCAGCCGTAGGTACGAAGAATGAGGCGCTACTTCAGGAGGTGGGAGAGAAACCCCTCTCTCTTCGGAGGGAGGAGCTATCTCTCAAATTCTGGGGGAAACTTCAGTATTTGTCCGAAAGCTGTCCGACGTATTCCAGCATCAGAAGATTTACTCGTGTCGGAAATAACCAGAAGAATCGGAGTATTTCTTACGGGCAAGCGGTCATTGATCTATTGAGAGAGCATCAGCTCGATCAAGTAACGATCCTTGAACGCCGCCTATCGGCTACTCCGTTTTGGAAGGTTACCAACCCGACAGTCAACACCCAGCTGATCCAGAGTACCAACAAGCACGAGAACCCAGTGGGAGCAAGAGCTCGCGCTCTTGATCTGATTGATTCCGTGTACGCCGACCATTTGAAGATCTACACCGATGGTTCCAAGAGTAGTACCGCAACAGGTTACGGTTTGTGCATCCCAGCAAAAGGCATCCGCATCAGTAAAAGGATCCCCCCGCACTATTCAGTGTTCACAGCAGAACTTTTTGCCATCAGGGACGCGGTAGCATGGCTGTCCGTCAATCACACGGAGCATGCCGCGATTCTATCCGACTCGCTAAGCAGCCTCCAATCTATTTTTCTCACCTCTTCTAATTGCAAGTTATTTCCGAAATAAGAAGAATTAACCACAACTACCAAACCAACAACAACCAGAAGATTGAATTAGTATGGGTTCCATCGCACGTCTCCATTCCTGGCAATGATCAAGCAGACCGTTGTGCCAAGGAAAGTCTGAGTCTGGAGGATATCGAGCCTGTAGAATACTCCTATTCGGAGTTCTGCAGTATCGTATCTTCTAGGATCAACCAGAAATGGTCCGACATGTTACGGAACCTCGACACCGCAAGATACCAGATTGATCCGAAGATACCAAACCAAACCAAACCAAACCATCCATCTGTAGCCATCTGTGAAGTGGCAACCAGACTCCGGACCAACAACGTACTACGAGACCATCAGTTCAACGCCATTAAATGTCGCTGCGGCCACGTTGCCACAAGGTCGCATGTCCTCATTCAATGCACTGAACTGAAACCCGCTCGTAAGCCACTGCTAGAGTACCTGGAAACCAACGGCATACCACTCACCATACAGAATGTTTTGGCTCCAACCACGGACCACTGGTATACGATAATGGAACTAGTCTTCCATTTTATAACCAAATCTGTCTTGAACAGATAGACTAAGTTTTTAAACTCAAAGTTTCTTAACACTTTTTAATTATATCCAATCAATTCAACAAGTTTCATTGCAGAAACATCAGAGAACATCTCTCCCCCTTTTGTGAAAGCTTCCCCCCCTCTTTCCTCCCTCTTTTTCTCACTTTCTTTTCTTATTTTTTCAGGTCTTCGAGTTTTCCAACAGATAACAGATAATCTAACCAAACCAAACCAAACCAACGACTACCACTCGACTACCAATCAACAAGAAATACCATGATCAGAACGAGTTTGGAAGAATGAAGGAGACCGAGTAACTCACGCCACACCATCCAGGGCCGAGTTTCACCGCCATGTCATTCGACCCGACCAGATCTAACGAAGAATCAACAACCAAACCAACAACGCCGAATCATCCAATTTGATCCAATCCAACTACCAACTACTACGACTACCAACAACTACCTAGTTTGCGATATCAGCATCCGCTGGAAGCGAACGTTAACTTGGTCATCTACCTACCTACCTACCCTATCTCATCAATTGTTTTAAGTAGGGGACGTGAAGTGAATAAGGAGTCAAAGGGCATGACGAGTCAAAGGGCACGTTGTCTTTCGATAGTCGTAACTGGTCTAAAAAATTTCCCACGTTTATATATTGTCGCAAGAAGTTTAATAGCTAACAAATGTCGAATAACATAAATATTACGATCATCAAAGAAAGTTGTAGTTTGTAACTTTGTTGTTTAATAGGATAATAATTATATGGATATTTCCTCAAGGTTAAATATTCTGATGGGACACCCGATTTTATAGTAGCCTACAACAATTTACATTTTAAAGAAGCCTTGCCTGGATAACTTAACAGATCTGATTCTTTTATAACTTTTAATTGCAGACATACACTGAAATCTATCGTCATTTATCGTAGTTTGTCGAGCAAGATCCTAAAAACTTCAAGGTCAATAATTCAAATTCATATGTTTAGTCCCTCAATATAATAAATTTGTGTCGTGGACAAATTTCATCAAATATCTTACAATAATATGTCATGCTATCTTCAATCAAATTGTTAGAATATATGAAGTTTCTATGTTTTAAGCTGAATCCGTAAAGGCATGATGTCTGTGTCTCTTTGACGTAACATTGTAAATATACTGTTTTCTACTTATTTAAAGTTGCGTTTCGAGTGCAACCTTACAATAATTAATAATTAATGACACGAAACTTTAGAAGTTGTTGATCAGAATCGTTTCAAATAAGTATTATATTATACACGAGAGAAAAATAAGAGAATAAATAATGCTCATGAAAAACAAGTTTTGCCTTTGATCTTGTAGCTCTCGTGTGGAACAAAGAGTCAGTTGTGAGACTGACATTAAAGAGATTAAATAATAATCTTATTACTGGCCGATTTAGATAGGCTTTCTTTTTCACTTGTTTTAGCTCGCTTTAATTGCTTCGGAAGTGAGAACTTCAAACGATTCCTTTTATTTGATTCATTAGAAACAAAGACCCATCCTTGTCGGTCATCGATAGAAGTCGCCTTTGATCTTACCGACTTGACGGTTTAATTTGCTAATTGGGCACGATCAGTCGGGAATTGCAACTATTATCTATGCTCTTTGATTCAAAAGGTTTGACTAATTATAAAGACCATCAAATAACGTTTGATTAAGTTCATATTAAAAATATATTTATAACTGTATAATAGATATTATCAGTGTTTCGGACAGAGGATCTGTTATTTGAAGATAACATTTCTTATACAATATTAAAATGTTACAAGTAGGATAAAATTCTAATCAACATATGCGATAGGATCATATCTCGTGTGTGAGAATATAATAATTATACAAAATGCATATATCTCAAATTAAGACGTGGGGGCCGTGGTGGTTCAAAGAGTAAAAGGGTCAATTCAATCCCTACGTAAAATTATAAGCAATTTTCCTTGTAAGCCGAGCACTCCTTAAAAACTCATTTTCCCCGTAGATCTCGGATTTGACTTTTTCAATACAGTGTCTCCCTGTAGGTGCTGACTTGGAAAAGTGTCACCCGAATAGAAAGATATCGTTGCTTTGCACATTAAAGAATGTTGGGTAAATGGGTATGACAAAGATTATAAGGTGAAGTTTTCCCACTCCACGAGAGGACGAGAGGAGACCAGCGAAAGATGATAATTGGAAGTGTCCAGAATTAAATTGATAACACATAGAATTTGCATTAAGTCACAGATGCCGATTTTTATGCTTTGTTTCAATTCAATGAGTAAATGGTTAGCAAAGTTATTGCTGTAAAGAGATATGGTGTGAAAATGTCGCCTTTGCTTCAGGCATATTTGTTTTATATTTGATTATGAGCAATTCATGAGGTAATCTCCTTAATTACATGGCAAATGTTCAAAGAAATTAGGTGGTACAAACCTAATAAACATAAAAAAGACATAATAAAAATAAGTTTAAATAGTACATTATGAGCAATAAATAATTCAATTTTATTGGTAAATTGTATAAAGAGTAGGCTTTGTATATTCCTCAGGATATACCATAATATATTGAGTAAGCTTATATACTAGCTTTAATAATGAATGATTACTACTTATTTCCTTTCAAGTTTTTTAATAATAGATAGTCCATCATCATTTCAACACATATTAAAATACCCAAAACACTCATGTCAATGAGTTATTTATCTCATGCTTCATGCACTTCAAGTGAATTTTTTTTCAAGGTCTCTATTCACCCAATGATAATCTGCTTAAAACATAAGGTTTTAAAGCTGACAACATTTTTGTTGAAGCATTGAAATTTAGTTGTCTTATTCAAACATGTTCTTTGGATTGTGAAAGTCTTCAGAAGTACCCGGTACTAGAAATGTAAGAAAATTGCATAATTTCTTTAAAAATACTTCAAACTAGGAAATTTACTCACTATTTCTATATTTTCTATATATCACAGAGTATCTTAAAATGAGAGTCATCATATTAACATTCAAATTCAGATAATTCTGTACACACATGGATTTAAAGACTAAAATTTTGAGAGTGAGTCCTGATCACTGATTACTAATTCCTGTTTCTGAGACTTTAGTACATTGGTCAAAAAAAAATGGGGCACCTGTTCCTTCAAAGAATTCAAAGGATGTGTTTGAGTCTTTTATTGTACATCAGAGACACTTATAGGCTTATTTACTCCATGCTCCTAAAATTCCACAAAGAACCTAACCAGATCATGATGTCACCATCACATTTGGATTGAATGGTATTTGCAAAGGCGACATTTTTTGTTGACACTAGAAAAATTATATAATCTTTTAATTCATATCAAATACAATGACTTATAAAAGATATATATTTTATATAATATACTGTAATTGTTATAATTCCATTTCAAGTTCTAGAAGAATTATTATAAGAAAGCATAATAATATGATAGTGGATGAATTTAGTCCCTTCATTGAGAATTTGAGCAAGTAATTTTATATACAGTACACATATTTATGAAATATACACTTCGATATTAACTAAGCATATCCATCTAATAACTTCAGATATAGATATATATGCAGTAATGTTGTATAATTGGAATTTCTTTACCTGAAGAAAAAAGTCTGTGTGCAGTTATCATATCAAATTGCAATTTACATAATATTATAAATAAACAAAATAAATATCACAAGAGACAGCACTGGACTATAGGTAAAACAATCAATATCATGAGCCACTCTAGTACTACAACACTATTTTGGTTCTGGTGTTTGATTCTGTCAACATTGAAACTTAACAGAAAATAACATCAACAAACAATTCAGAAATACATGAAAAAGACAGAGCATATTATTTAACAAGAAAAAAATAATATAAAACACATCTAATTTTTAGTTACATATATATCTTTATACTAAAAAATATAAAAGAATATAATCCAATCATTTGTTTATGTTTTATTACCACTAAATTATATATATGTATGAGTTCACATCAAAATGAGAGGTCTCCCATCAAAAAAGTATACCAATTTAAAAAAAAAAAGCAATATATGTATACATACATCTGCATTATAATAATGTGGGAACATTTAATTATCACCATGCTCAAATTACACATTATTTTTTTTCTGAATCTGTATTCCATGGGTACTACCAATATTAAGTCAAATAAACAATGTGTGTACCAACATTATAAGTCAGATATCTCATCATGAACAGCGACAATGTAAGTAAGATATCTCAATGTGTGTACCAACATTAAAAGAAAGATATCTTAAAATGGGTATTGACAATGTTAGCCAGATAACTCAATGTCTGCACCCAGTTACCCAATCAGATATCCCAACATTGATACTGAGAATTGATATTGAGAATATCAGTCAAATATCTCATCATGTATGTTGACATTACAAATAAGACATGGTTTCAGAGAGTATAGATATCTATACTCAACTGACAATATAATTAGGATATCTGACACTGTAAGTAGAATAATTCACAGCAATAGCTTTTGTGATGATCTACACACATCTATTGCTAACTACCTAGTTTATGAAATATATACATGTATATGTAATATAATATGTTGAAAATACACTATGATGGACTGCATGTATGACTGGACCATGCCAATTTGGACCAACAGTCCTAATTCATAAATAGTTCCTATAATAAGATGATCCATGTGTAAGGCCATAGGAAAATGATGAAGAATTCAGCTAATAATATTATAAATGAATGGAACCAAAATAAATCCCCATTTAAGGATTATAAACATTGCTGTAATTGAACACCAAAGACTTTAGTCATCTTTTTTCATTGGTGAACATAAAAAATCTAACACTGACACTTTAATATCTTATTTTATCGTAACTTTATTCATCAGAGATCAGCACTGGAAGTGATGGAAGTTGTAATGTAATAAAATATGTTATACACGAACTAATGTTGTATCTAAAACCATTTCTAAAAACTGAAAAATTAAATTCTCAAGTTATTAAAATGTCTATATGTATACTAGATAATGAAGATATGACAATGATATTAAATGAAATGCCCATTTTGGACTGATGCAGATGGGAAATGTTAGATCATAAAAAGTTTGCCTGGACATAAGCTCTAATACCTATGTATTGGATGTCCAATTAGCAGGCATGTAATCTTTCTTTAGCCCCTTTCAACCAAAAGCAACCTTTTAAAAGAATTCAGATTTTTGTCTTGCATTCCTGACAAGAGAACTTCAAGGAATCTGTTACTTCACATCTAGTCATATTCTAACATTATCAGTAAAATGAGCCAGTGTCTTTTTTTCATAAAGTGAGAGGAGTGAAAACTATAACTGGCAATATTGTCAATACTATAACAAATGAAGCAGGCCCAGAGCACATAATGCTACCCTGGCATACAGGGTTCAATTTAGATTGCGAAATTTTATTAGCAATTTATCACACAAAATTGTATATTTCATAAACAAGTTAAATCTTAATTTGCATTTCTTAAAAAATCAAAGGCAATTTAAAATGTTCCGTCAGTAAACCTTCAAATATTCAATTTGATTTGCAGATAGTTGTGATAAATTTCAATTTGGCTAATCCAAAGAAAATATGGGATTGCAAAAGGGGTCATTTGGAATCCCAAACTGCCATGTGATACTCCTTAAAATGAACCCTGCATGCTAAACACAAATTAATTCATGTACCTACCTCCTCATAATTAATTCTGATATTTCCAACTAATTGTTGATCTTTAGCACGGAATTTATCTGTTAATGTTTTTAACATAACACAAGCTTGGATAAAATCATCAAAATTGATACTTCTTCTCCCTTGTCTATCAAACTTCATTACAACAATATTACAAAATTGAGGTGATCTGAAGAAAATATTGTGTTTGAAAGAACAAGGGCAATAACTCATTGTATTTTATTTTTCTACTATATTTTCATAAGGTTCATCATTAGGTTTAGGTGATATTTATCAATATAACCAAGTTTCATCAATATCCATCAAGAATTGTGCCTTCTAGAGAGCATACAATCAAATACACACTTAAAATTTTAAGTGTGCATACTTAATTATTACTACAAATGTTACCACAAGAAAGTATAAACAGTATATTTGATATAAATTTTCCAAATATACTTACAATTGATAACCGAATTCTCTGAGAGCAGTGTGAAGTTCTCCTGCATCTATGTTGCCTGATCGATCTCGGTCATATCTAAAAATATCAAATGAAGATATTATTACTAAATATATAAAGGGAAATAACTCTATAAAGGGGTCTGAAAATACAATTCAAAGCTAAAGTTTGCATTCGGCTTCACAAGCAGTGATTTGCAGCTTTACAGAACAGAAAAAATTCAATATGCAAACAGGGGGAGACTATAAGTAGTATCATGGTCAGCTGATTGTCACATGGCTGTAGACTAAAACAGACAACATTATCTACCACAACATTGTCCTAGAGATTGTATTATTTACAGTACTAGTAATATAGAATATGCCAATTTAGGGTAAAAAGTTGGGCACATATACATTCTCAATTATATAGAATGCTGAATCTCTATTTCAAAAAGACTGAAAGTGAAATATATTTGTAATTCTCACTTGATATTCTTACCTATCAAAACAAGCTTTCCAATCTTGTATATATTTCCATAAGGCAGCAAATTCATGAATATCTATTGTTCCACTCCTGTAAAATAGAATTATTAACAAAGATTTCATCAAAATGATGTTGTTCAAAATCAAAATTGACATCTACAGCTTCAATTATTAGCGCATTCACCAATCTGAATTTTCATGGATTTTGAGTATCACAACTTACTTGTCTCTATCAAACATACCAATCATTAGACGACAGGTTTCAGGGTTAAAAGCTGACCAGTTTCCATTCATTAAAGCTTGTTGTAATTCAGTTGCTGTAATTTTACCAGACCTATCTTGATCTACTGTCTGCAAAACATTGATTTTCTCAATAGATATCATAGTTCTTTACAGTATGTTATATTTATAATAATATCAATGGTTGAAGAACAATCTTTGGTTCCCTATATATAAATATGAGACCTATTAAATTGCTGATCACTTGAACTAGATAAAACATGTGGGTGTTAAAGATGATGCCGTTTATATCACTTTACCTGAAACCATCCCCATAAGTCTGGACTGACACCAGGGGGAGGTGGTGTGGCATTGTATCCTCCCGGCTGACCACCATATTGTGGTTGATATCCTTGTTGAGGATTGCCATAAGGTTGACCCTGTGGCTGTCCATATGGTTGTCCTTGAGGCCGGTAACCTTGTTGTTGCTGGCCATAGCCTGGAGGTTGCTGACCATAGCCCTGTTGTTGCTGACCATAGCCTTGTTGTTGCTGACCATAACCTTGAGGTTGTCCATAGCTTTGATTATAATTTTGAGGTTGTCCATATGGTGGTCGACTACCTTGTCCACTACCATAACCACCCTGAAATCATTGAACACAAATAATATGGTATAATTTTCAGCTACCACTTAAACTTTTTAGAATTAAAACTATATATCCAGGGTAAGAAGTATGTAGTTACTTGCCAGTACTAACCATGACACAACACATCACAATTAGGGCAAACACACACATTCATCATATCATAAACTTATGGCATAATGACGGGTTGCTAAAATGCCAAAATGGAATATGCTTTTACCGATACCAAGTTCAATGGTAGCAAGTTTGTAGTCAGTTTGTAGCAAGTTGCTACTCTGTAATCAATCTAACATTAGATCTAACAATTTCACATATAATTATAAATAGACTATTCTTTCATTTAGAATTTGGTCCAAAATAAGTGAGAAACTTTGACAGTGCAGGTGATTTTTACTCTTTAGGGGTAATCAATGTCTTTCTTTATTAACTCGCATTGTCTTTGACCAGCCTCTCCAAGGCGAATAGCGTTCAGACACTTGGATGACTATTTATGAAGTTGACATGCCTAATTTTCACCCTTGTCATTAAAGACTTTATTAATAATTATTATTACATTACTGATATTCCAAGTCTAAATAAGCTTAATGTATTATCACATCAAAAATAATCGACAAAATAAGAGAACAGCAAAAGGAAATAGAACTTACATATTGACCAGGTTGGTTCCAAGACATATTTCAAGAGGATTGAAACTTGACCTCGGGATAATGAGTCAAATGAAAGAGATTGACGAACTTGCACAATAACTTAGATGAAAAATTACAAAATTTTAGTCGAAGGGTTAAAGGGCGTTAACTCTGAAACATTGAATGACATGTTTGATGAAAATGAATACCAATGCTGGTTAAATCGATGTCTGATCATTGGCTCATCTATTAATACTGTGCAATCAAAATGTATCTTTTAACAAACGTTTTGAAACAAACACACTCTTAATTCTTTCGTAAATGTTTCTAATTTTTATTTATCGCAAATCACAGAGGACAGATATTAAGTTTTGCTACATACGACGGAGTGTTCATTGAGGATGATTTTATATTATATCCGAATGAAAGATCCTATAAAGTATTGTGACGACCCCAAAAAAATGTGCCCACGTGACTTCCGCTGTCTGCTTCAGTGCCAGAAAAACGTCGGCCTTTTCATGTAAGTGGAAGATTCAATAAAAGCACTCCCACATCAGACTAGATTTGACTCTTTTTAGTGGGAATTATTTAAATCACTCGAATTTTCGGTCACCTTTTTCAAGGCATAGCTTTTAGGCTGAAGCTTTTTACGTGTTTTACTTGAACGAAGGCTCCCTTTCGCGCGCAAATAGACAATTCTACTTGGCTTACCCAGTATTTATTACGAACGTCATACTTCGTTGACTTCGCCTTTGACTTTGAGAGCGGATAATCGACAGATACTCTGTAGAAAAAATAACTAATGTGACTTATAGATTTTGTTCAACGAAACTCATTCAATTTTTACGTCTTAACTTAAACTTTCTTGACTTAAGAACTGAACAAGGCGAAATTTTTTATTATCAGTATCAGCATTGTCTTAGACTACTAATGAGCCTAATATAAGTTAAATAATAGACTCTTTTTTTTTATCTTTTGATTTGGCAATAATGCTCTTTTTAGTGTACTGGCTTGGGCAGTTTGGATGGGAGTAAGGTTAAGGTCGAGATATCTCTTACCCAATTTCGCATCACTGTCAGTGATGCAAGATAAAAACTGGACTCTAGAGTCTCCATCGGCACAAGCACTTTGCAGTTTGATATGTATGTAGTTTCATTACCGGTATGCATATAAATGGTTCTAATTTTTTTCTTCAGCCTTTTTGAAGAGCTTAGCAAAGCAGTAAAATGAGACTTGTATTAAAAAGCCAATTGGGCTTTCTGGTACTTTTGTTTTTAAGTATTTGTAAGTAGTGAGTTAGTTTACTTTGTACTGTACCCAATATTTTCTGAATTAAAACATTTGTTTTGAAAAATAGTTTTTAGTCCATAAGCAAAGACCAACTTGTAAGATTCTGAAACAAACAGTTGTTTATGGTGTGTTTATTCAACATGACTTAATTTATTCAAAATACAGTGGCTTGTGCACATAAAAGAGGCTATGGATTTGACAAAACTTTGATATTGTATATCGATATTGTATATCATCTTAGCATGAGCAGTTTAAGTTTCTATATTTTGATGGAAACAGTGAATGCTCAATCTGAATTATAAACCATTTCAGTTACTTTAGATGTTACATGTGTCAAAAATGAAACACCAACAGAAGAAAATAGTTCATCACCGGTATCACGAAATGCAACTATCGATACCAATTCAACAGAATCGTCAAATACAACTATTAACAATAAAACAAGAGAAGAAATAAGCACAACAACGATGTTGCCAACTACAACTATCGATACTGTTAAAGGTAACAATTTATCAATGTACTTTGAGCCAACAAAATTTGTTACCAGTTGCTACAAGATTGCCAGTAATTATGATTTTAAGTCACAAAAACAGGATTGCTCCAATTAAATTATTTCTCAAAACCATTTTGCTTTGTGTAGGTGTAATGGCATATTGTTTAACTTGAACAAATTTTAACTTGGCAACACATGAAATATGTGAAATCAGGCTTTTTGCTTGATGGGCAATTAAGTTTTTGTTTTTTGAATTGTATGAAACAGGGTACATGCTTATGAAAGTTGATAAAATATTGTCTGACATTTTGATAAATTCTATACTAAGGTAGCATTCTATTTGAATTTATATGACCTTGTGCAAATCTTTTCTTCTGTTGATTTTAGCAAATTGTGAGCAGGTGTAAGTACAAGAATTTACAAAATTAAATTCTGTTTCAAACTGTATCTGTTGATTTATGTGTTTACTCAACCCTTTCATTACTGACAAAGTTTGCTTTCAGAAAAAAAGAATTCTTTGTAAATTTTATTGTGATCATTTTTGGGCTAACCTCAGAAATCCATAAAATTATAGTTAGGATTATTCAAGTGTGAAAGTTAATCTCAAATAGATTGTAACGGTAATGAAAAGGTTTACTGTTTAGTTACTGTTATTTAATTTTCAATTTAGTTCTCCAATTGCTTGTCATCCCCCCTGTACTTCACAATGTTTTGCAATGAATGAAATATAGATGCAGTTTTGATTACAATTTGATCTGTTATCTGTTGATCTAGCCGTGGTAACAAGCTAACAGTGGGCATATGTTACCTTGCCTGGCAAGATATCTTTATGATCAATGATTTTAATGTTTTTTAGAATACGTCGATACACGTTGCAGAAAAGGACTTACATGATACCTGCTGCGTGTCGTACATATGAAAATGTAAGTATACCCCTAATTTCGTACGTCACAAACCTTCTTAGCTGTGAGGATATGGGTGTAAGCATGTTCCTTTAGCAAGGGTACAATGATTATTCACATCTAACCATTGCTTGAACAATCCCATATTCTCATCATTAGAGACTTAAAACCACCCTTGGCAGACCATACGTCACCATTCAATATATCCAATCAGGAATCTTGTAATATTTGGAGTAAAAGGACAGTGATTGAAAATGGCGTCTTCATTGAATCATCGGAAATTATTGCAGATTCGCACCAACCCAATTGATCAATGTGAAACTTGACAGAAAGGTAACAATTCAGAAAATTCTAATGTTTCCTTCCATTGTAAATTAATTTTCAAAGTTTTCAAGTGGGATTTTTCCCAGTAACGACGAAATGAGAGGGGGCATAACTCATTTGAGTAGTCGTACTTGCTTTGTTGAGTCATTGATTCGCAGGTCATTTAGAATAAATGTGAACATTATTCAAGGAGGCGTAAAAATTGTTGATTTTTTTATTCTTGCTCTGAAAACTATCAAAAGCTCAACCATGAACTTTGAGATTTGGTATTTCAAAATTTTGCATCAGGTTATTCAAACATTTTCCCACAAAATGTTGTTTGAAGGAATATAATTGGTAGAGAAGTAAACTCTCTACCATTCAAAAGTAATGACGAGATTATGGGATTGTGAGAGCAACGGCTAGAATGATCGTTGTTAAAGGATGTAAGAGATATACCTGTACATGTATATATAATACACCTTAAAATATTGGACAATTTTTCACAGGGAGGGTTTATAAACAGTAGACTTTCACAAAGGTTGTGAGGGGTTTGTATAAAGCAGTTTGTGATTCCCTGATGTTGAAATATGTACAAGTGTAAAGTTAATTACGGTATATATGTTCTGTGTATGAGTGGATCGCTATTATGAAATCAGTTATCTTTATGGAATATTGAGCACTATCTATTTGATAGCGGTAGTGTAATGAATTTATATTTCTAGGTATCCAGTTCAACTGCGAATGAAGTATTAACAGCTATGAAGAATAGGAATATTGATAAAGTTGCTATTCAACTCTTGATTCGTCATCCTTCTTTCGCCTTAAGTCAGCTTAGTACATTGATATCTCTTGTGAAAAACAATCTTGAGGTAAACAAAATTTATTATTGTCGCATCTTGTACTGTCATAAGTCATGATTTAAACAATGCTGTTTGTGGTCATATAAAATTCAACAGTAAAATTCAATAAAATTGACCCACAAATGTTTGATCCTTTTCAGCTTATTCATCCAGAAATTTTAACTAATAGCATAGGTGCTATTATTGATAAACAGAATAATTTTAGAATTCCACGCAAGATAGATGTTGAACATATATCGTATTTGGGTGATTTGGTGGTACATTTACCTGGAAAACTAGTCTCACAATTAACTCTGCCAGCAATAGATTTATTGTAAGTACTAGCCCATTTTTGATAAGACTTTTTTAATCAATCTGCTTATGTAAAAAATTTGTGTGCACAGTAATGCCATTGGACTCCAATTAAAGTTAAACATGAATTTGGAGATTTGACACTCAGACTATAATACGGGTTATAATTAGATGTGTCTCAGAACTTAACGGTACATCATCTTTTCTTTCAGTCTTGATACACTACACAATGTCACACAGAGAGATACTGATCCTGTTGAAGCTGTGAGAAGTTATATCTTCTCTGATATGATTAGACTTAGAGCCCTATGTACAAGAGTGTTTTCACTCAAGACTCAATTAACCCTCAATGATATTGACAAGGTTTACTTCCTCATGTTCTGTGCACCAGCACCTATATGCTCAACTGTGGCAGCCAATGATGTAAGTGTTTATACGCCCTTTTCACCAGAATATTTGAACCCAAGTTGGTTGTTTTTGCACATTTCCTTGAAAATGCTTTAAAATTGAGAACCAGAACAAAATTATCAGAATATTGAATAATAAAAAAATTGGAATGAAATTTAATATAAAGAACTTGATATTACAAGTATTTACACAATAAATACATAAAATAAAACAAAACAAAATTTTTTTTCGGGTAGATTTTGAGCAAGCACGATCTGTTATTACCAGCTAAAGAAATGTTTTGGACACCATCATGTGCTTACCAAACAGTGGATCAAATGTCTAAAAGTATAATAGAAAAAGGAAATTTTAGAGGATTGATTGAAAGAGGTGCTGGTTGTGCTAGAGAATTAGCTAACAAATATCTATCAGTAGTGAACAGTGATCAATTGTCAGTAACAGTTAACAGGTTTGCTCCTTATATTTTTGTACCACCTTGGGTTGTAGGTGATATATCAAAACCAGACCATAATGATATCAAAATTATCAAATTTCAATTCAAAGCTTAGACTTAAATTTTTCTGGGTTTATGCAGGATAATTTTTGCAGCTTCCTTAAACAGGTATTTCAATGGTTATTTTATTTTTTTTAGAATAAAACCTATATTGGGATGTATGGCACCTCATGATGTAGAAAGCTTTATGAATGGAATGACTTGTAGTGATGCTGAAGCAGCTTTGAAGTCATATGATTTCACTTCACCCTTAGTAAGTTATATAGATATTATTACAAGATAAATTATAAATTTCGATTAGACTTAAGTAACTCGCTTGATATACAAATCTCATAAAAAATTACGATAAAAGAACTAACCAAAATTGTTAAAAGTTTAAAATTTGATAAAGTATGAGCATATTACCCTTAAGGAAAAAAGCTTGGTTGATCGTTATGACCATACATGATTAAGAAATGGTTGATGTAATATAAGTAAAACTAATCTAGATTTAGAGCAAAACCATTACTTTCTTGAAAATCTCTCTAATAATTTATAATTGTTACCTGTGTTTCAGGCTTTAAAGATAGTGTCAAAAAGATGTATTCTACCATCTGTACATCCTTTCAACATTACTTGTACTGAACTTGTTAGTTATGGACAATTTGTAACAAGTTTCCCTGATGTGTTTATCCAAGGAATACCGGAAGCTACAATCTGTCAGGAGGATTGTCAGAGTAATATATTTGGAGACTTTCGTTATCAGAAATTACCACAAAGCATTGTAAGTTTTAATTACCTTTTTTTTTTAAATTTGTAGGAAACCTTTCAGTTTTTTTTACTACATTATTTTGCATTTGTGATTGTATAAGTGTAGTTGAATTAAAATAAAAGTATTCATTTTATTTGTGGTAATTTTGTTTCAGAAAAATTATGTGTTAAGGAGATGTAGACCAACTGGACCAATTGATACAGCTACTGTGGCACGATTTGGAGGTATGGTTGTAAAATTACCAATGGATTCTGTGGATAGTCTCTCAGCATCTGATATAGCTACAGTTCTAAATGATGTCAAAAAAACATTGAAGGCTGAAAAATATCCAAGACGGAGAGCTATTGTTCGTAAAATGGCTAAAAAGGTATCTTCATTCAAACAAATCATTAAAATGATCAAATTCATGTGCTTGTAGTTCCGGGCTACAAATGGTTAGGGGCTTTTGACTTTAAAAATAGAAGCATAGTTACTGCTCAGAGTTGTTAATTAATGTAAAGCTACTCTTCTGATCTCGATTAAGCTTGTGCATGTATAATATACAAAAGAAATGGTCATATTACAGTTCAGTTTTTTTTCCAATTTGAGTGTTTTGAACATGTTTTACTTCAACCAGTTTATTACCAATCATATCTAGCTTGAGGTTTATTATTTTCAATTGAACTTTTATTGTATAGCTAATAGCAGCTGGTTCTATTGAAGACATAGCTGATAATAAAGACTTTATGAAGCAGTTATCTTTAAAAGATATACAGAATACAGATGTTTCCCTATTATACAACAGCACATCCCTAGACCTTCCTGATTCTCAGGTGTGTTATCTCTTAATACTTTAATACAATGTGATTTGGCACTTGCTCTCTTGCTGATCATGGAGCTTTTCTATAAGGAGTGCTTTGGCTATTTGCTAGTTGAATACAATTTATCGTTGCTATATATTCTTAATCTATTTTGCAGAATAAATTCTTTATGAAGAAAGTATTACAATCAACACCAATAGAAAATATGGATGCTGCAGCTGTCAGGTTATACTTTTATGCAAAAAAATACTTTTCAGAAATTAAAATTTTGAAGACTAAAGGAAAACTCACCACTTGTTATTTTCAAAAGCTATATTCATTTAACTGGTCAATCAATTTCATAATATTTCTCAATGTTTGACAATGATTTCATCTTGATTCTAGACAAATGGGTTCATTGGTAAAAGGATTGGTATCTTCCAAAATCGCTCAATTTGATCCAGGTCAGAGAATGGTTATTGCTACTGAACTCTGTTCACAAAGTAATTGGCCAATGAAATCTGTAAGTATGAATCAATGCACTTTATCTTTACATTATTAAATCCAAAGTAAGGGTTGGGCGTGTCTGGGTTCAATTCCAAAATTGACAAAAGAGAGTCAAATTACTTTAATTGAACCAAACTAAACTGATACTTGGTATGATTTGACACCATAAGACATTATGTAATTTCTTTGTTTATAATAGTGCTAACAAAAACGTTTTTGACCAGTATGACCAATTTTGCATTTGACTGTTATTTTGCAGACTTTCCGATGAAGAAATATATTTGATAGCTGTCAGAATCAATACTACTGACAAGTGAGATAATATGTGGCTTTGTATTTTGTATTGATCTATAACAGTTGGCGACCATCTTTGGTGACAGAAAAGGCCATATTCTCTTTTTTAGGCTTATGCCATCAATAGAAAACTAATAGTGGATCATTTAGAAAGTAGTTTAGAATCAGACCCAATGTCAGTATTTTCTCCTTTTGATGTTGAAGCTCTAGGATGTGAATGTCTGGTATATTTTAAGTAAGTATCAATTGTTATAGATATATTTTTGCAACCAAACAAATATAATGTAAAATTATTATAGATTATGATGATGATAATATGAATAATGTTTCTAAAATTTACTAATAATGGATAAAATATAGTTTGATGTTATTTTTGATGTTATTTCAGACCAGAAGAATTAACAGCTATGTCAACAGAAGCTTGTCAAGCAACATGCAAGGCTATTGGTTCTTGTTCAAATTTTCAATGTTTGGATAAGGGACATAGACAAGGATTATTAGCTTCTTGTATGTCTTGTATGGTAAGTAATTAAATAAGTTAAAAATATACCAAATTAACATATTGCCTATGTAGACATAAGGAAAGATTGACTATATCTAATTTGCCTTTCAAGGGTTTTACATATAGAGCATTTTAGTAGAGACTTAGTTAGTTCTGATTTTGAGCACTGTGTATTATACAGTGTGTATATCTATTTCAGAATTTGACTTCAACATTATCAATTGAGGATTTTGCTGATTTGGGTCGTGGTTTTATGCAAGAATTAAGTGTAGATAAAATTTCTACAATGATTTCTAATGATGATTTGGTGACTGGTGCCTTGATGTATTTCCAAGGAGGATGTTTATCTGTTCCTGTAAGAGAGGCTTTGAAAACAAAAATCATTTCTGGAATCGGGTAAGACAATCCGACTTTTGCCAGTAAGTATATCATGCTGAACCTATTGAGGAAACTTTATATTCACATACAGATATATGGATTGAATCCATTTGAATAAGCCAAAATTGGATTGAGACTTCAGTAAGAACAGAATATGAATTGGTATATTATATTGATCAAATTTTGATTTAGCTTGATTTTGAAGGGTTGCAAAATTATTTAGTAAAGTAATTCTTTAAAGTAACTTAGTGGCCATGATACCTTACCTTAACTGAAAAGCACCCTAGAAGGCACCATTTTTGACAGAATTTAACAAAATTATTTTTCTTCATGGGATATAATGTTTATCATGTATGCTCCTTATAATAATTATTTACATTACTTTTTTTGTAATAGTGAACCTACATCATTTGATAGAGCAACATATGAAAGTCTTCAAGAACTATTGATGATATTTACTGATGCTCAATTAGATGCTGCTAATATGGTATGTATACCAATGAAAACTAAACGGAAAGCACATCATATTTATGGTTATCTTACATGTGAAGTTCAATAGTATCCAATTGATATTGCAGTGGGAACTTATTTGCACTGGTTTGGTTTACAAAGAATTAACCAATAACGTACAAAGGAAGTTTGAAGTCATCATTTAAATTTATTAACCATCCTCCCATCATGATATTATTATCCAAGAGTGATTATTTCCATGATCACAGAAAAGGTGTGGAACTGACAGAATGAGGAAATAGTGGAAAAAAAAAGAAAATTCTATAACATATTTCTCTCAATTTTGTAGACTGTAATTAATGATCTTACTGGTAACATATTACAAGCTTTAAATCCTGATGATGAAAATGGTAAAAGGTTAAAAGAATGTTGTGAAATGTGGTTATCTGATAGTGATAAGGAAGCCATTAAAATGAGAACTAAAGCTTTATATTCTACACTGATGAGAGCAAGAAGATCTGTTGTGTCTTCGTCTAGACGAAGAAGAAGTGCAGGTATAGAAATTTAAGAGTCCGGTCTAAAGCATCTTCACAAGCTATATAAAACTTTGTCTTATACCTTGAAAAGCCAACTTTCATGGGTTATTAAAGATTGTAAATGCAGCAGTTTGATTAGATCATACACTATGGAATAGTCACAATATCGCTACATCATGTGATACAAGAAAAGTGGCTATTGCATTCAAGGAATAAGATAAAGATCCAATAGCTTGACAATGTGAAGATGGGTCTAGACTTAACAATGTTTTTTTTTAAATTTTTTCCTTCACCATGCTCAAAATGTGTTAAATCAGCTTCGAAGCATGTTTCAGGTTACAGTTTTCAGTGGAAGAATTTTTGTATTCCTATTTTGAATTGAAATCTTGGGAAAAATGTATAATTTTACTTAATGTCATTTGTCGTATCACATGATAAAGCTGCACTTTATTTCCTTTTACAATAACAAGATGCACATTCATTCATTAAATATCACATAACTTATCTTTTTTAGATCCTTGGACCTGTAGTGAAATTCAATCTGTTGGTGAAGCTTTTAGTGGAGCCACTATAAGTGAAATACTGGCAATTGAAGACAGTGAATTTCTTGTCTGTATCAGTCATCTTGGTACTTTATCTGGTTGGTCTACTGAACAATTAACTACACTTTATAATAGAACTACACAGGTGAATATTAAATGATTTTTTGAAAAAGATACAGTAAAATTAGGAGTGTATATTTCTTTTTGCCCCTGTGGCTGAGTCTTCAATATTCAAAAACTTGGGAGACATCCATCCTTTTTTATACGCCCACACGTAAGATGGGCGTATATTGTAATCACCCCGTCGGTCCGTTCACATTTGGCTCGTGCTCACTCTACAGGCTACAGTTCTTTATGGATTCTTTTGATTTTTATTTTGTGGGTCAATGTCATTATGAAGATTATGAAGATGATCCCTATTGATTTTCGTGATAATCGGATAATTTTTCACCGAAATATCGTGTCTGACTTGACGTTTTTCTCTATTAGCTATATTGTGCAACTCGTGCTCACTCTACAGGCTACAATTTTTTACAGATTCTTTTGATTTTTATTTTGTGTGTCAATGTCATTATGAAGATGATCCCTATCGATTTTCGTGATGATCGGATAATTTTTCACCGAAATATCGTGTCTGACTTGACGTTTTTCTCTATTATCTATATTGTGCAACTCGTGCTCACTCTACAGGCTACAATTTTTTACAGATTCTTTTGATTTTTATTTTGTGTGTCAATGTCATTATGAAGATGATCCCTATTGATTTTCGTGATGATCGAATAATTTTTCACCGAATAATCGTGTCTGACTTGACGTTTTTCTCTATTAGCTATATTGTGCAACTCGTGCTCACTCTACAGGCTACAATTTTTTACAGATTCTTTTGATTTTTATTTTGTATGTCAATGTCATTATGAAGATGATCCCTATTGATTTTAGCGATGATCGGATAATTTTTCACTGAAATATCGTGTCTGACTTGACGTTTTACTCTATTAGCTATATTGTGCAACTCGTGCTCACTCTACAGGCTACAATTTTTTACAGATTCTTTTGATTTTTATTTTGTATGTCAATGTCATTATGAAGATGATCCCTATTAATTTTCGCGATGATCGGATAATTTTTCACCGAATTATCGTGTCTGACTTGACGTTTTACTCTATTAGCTATATTGTGCAACTCGTGCTCACTCTACAGGCTACAATTCTTTACAGATTCTTTTGATTTTTATTTTGTATGTCTATGTCGTTGTGAAGATGATCCCTATTGATTTTCATGATGAAATATCGATTTTCATGATGATCGGATAATTTTTCACCGAATTATCGTGTCTGACTTGACGTTTTACTCTATTAGCTATATTGTGCAACTCGTGCTCACTCTACAGGCTACAATTCTTTACAGATTCTTTTAATTTTTATTTTGTATGTCAATGTCATTATGAAGATGATCCCTATCGATTTTCGCGATGATCGGATAATATTTCACCGAAATATCTTGTCTGACTTGACGTTTCACTCTATTAACTATATTGTGCAACCCTGTAGTCACTAAAGACTGTTTAATCATTTCTGACAGCTGCCAGTGGGCGTATGTTACCTTGCCTGGTAAGCTATCTTGAATATAATCTGTGTCAGCTATGGAAACCTTAAGGGTAGATTTAAGAATGAATCTTGTTTTCTTGTCTATATTACAGTTACAAGGTGATGCTTGTGATATCAGTGAAACAATGATAGTGGATATGGGTAGTATTGTATTAGGTATGAAAGTTGGTGATATAAGTTGCTTAAATTTCACTACAGATGATCTTATAGTAGCACTTGGTATTCCTTCTACCTGGTCAACTGAACAAGTAAGTTGTATTTAACTTTCAAATTTATAGAACAAGAACAAATTTATTCCTTGCAATATTTTCAAGATTTGGATTGAAAAAAAAAAACTCCTTCAGGTCTCAATGAATTTCAAAACTCTTTTCTTGACAAAGTCAATGCAACTAACGCTTTTTCAATTTAGTTAAATATCAGAAAGTAGTAATTGATTATGGTATTATTTGAAAAGATTAAAATCTACCATGTATTTTAGTTAAGTGAGTTGGCATCTACAGTAAGTGTCAGGAGAAATACATCTATAGCTGATCTTACAGCTGATGATTTAACCAATCTCAGACATATTTTATGTGGGTATGATGCTAGTGAGTTAAATAACATTAATGCTGAAGCTCTTAGGTAAGTTCAATTTATAATCTTCTTTCAATGATTTCTGATTTAACGCACCAGTTCATTAAAGTAGCTATCATAGATGATATGGCTTTAATGTCATAAAGATATATTAAGTTAGTGTTTACCATTATGGGTGAAAAATGTTTCAATATTATTTGTATGTACGTATGTTTGTGGAAAACATTCAATAATGATGGTTTGAAATTATGATTCAGGGATTGTGGAGCTCAGTTAGGAACATTATCAGGTGATTTGTGCTCTACAGAACACATTTATGCTCTAGCTGATAAAGCATCGGAAACAAATGGTTATGGCAATGTCTCTAACTGGGATGCTTCCATTCTTAGTGAACTAGGAATTATTGCAGGTAAGGATAAAATAGTAAAACAAATAGATTCTAGTTTTGATGAAAAATAAACATATCTCTTAAAATCATATTTAGAAAAAGAATTTGCACAGCAGGTAGTGTATTTATCTTTATTTATCAAAAAAATCTAAGAGATATAATTTGATGATTGCTTTTTGTAAACCATTCATTTGAAATAACTTTTTTCAGCTGGTTTATCTGGTGACAAATTATCTTCATTATCAACATCTTCTTTAGAAGGTTTATCATCTTCAGCCATTCCTTTTATACAATCTTCAGCATTAGCAGTAAGTTAGAAGTCTGTTACTGTTTTTTTTTGGTTAACAGTTTGTCTTTGATAATTTTGTTAAAATGTAAACAGTCTTGAATATCTAGAAGTACAAGTTACAGAACATTCAGGAATCTTGTTCAGTCAGAGTGTATTCAAATTCAAACTCTTATCTTTATGATATAATAAATACATATACCAAATTTAATTAAAAGAATTATGAAAAGTGGGGAATGAAAACGGGTCTCGCTGGAATATTTTGGGGCGAGAACAAGCTATGTTTATCACGTCCAGTTTAAACCCAAATGTATAATTTGTGACAAACTGTTAAATTTTGAAATATTTTTTAGGCCATGAGTCCAGACCAATTTATTGCATTCAGTGAATCTCAGGCTAATTCAATAACACCTACTCAGAGGAATGCTTTGTCTGCTGAACAACAAAATTCTATTGATTTAGCTCCTTATGGTGATGAAGTTAACCCAAATGCTACAATGGCTAGTACTACAATAGAACCACCCTCTGGTATGTATTCTGTCATTTACTAAATGTAACTCTTGTGTTGTAGACATCTAATTATAGTGGACCCTGGTTAGTTGATCTATACCACTCTGTGTATACCTTGTCATCATTGAGCACTTTTTCCTTGTATCATGTCTAGATTGAAATACCAAATAAATGATTATTTTCAGGTACTGGTAGTCATGATGCAGTAGAAGTTATGAATGTTGTTTTATCCATTACTATGGGATTGTTATGTCTATGTTTATTTTTACCAACATATTGATTATAACAGTATATTTCATCAGCCAGTAACCAGTAAGCCAGTAATTGTTTGAGAAAATTGTTGAGATGTTTTAAAAAATAATATGCATGGAGTACAAAGATATTTATAAATTTCATTACCTAATAATATGCTTTATTCCGATGTTTATTTGATTGATATTAAAAATAATTCTGTTTAAAATTAGTTTTGTCAATGTCTGCTTCATGAAAAGGAAATTTTTATTAATGTTGAGATGGGTTAACCTTAAATCCCAATCCTTACTGTAAAGAATTGGTATTGCTAATATTATGGATCATAGATTTTCATACAACAATTATTGAATTTGAATAACAGCCACCAAAAGCATCTTAAAGCAAGGGAAAAAATGCTTCATTCCTCAAAGATTGTCACTAATAACTTCTTCAATAGTTCAATGTCTGAAAATTTATGATATCATAGTGCAGTTGAAATGGAATGCTTGACTGTCTACCCAATTCAAAAATGAAAATCTTGTACACTTTTACATCTAACATATTGTCAAATAAAACAATGCCAAGAATCTTGCTCTTCTGATAAAGAATTATCATAGATTGATTTCATCTGTGGCCACCTACAACTCAAACTAACTAAACTGTAGATTCAGGAAATATGAATTCCTCACTGAAGTAAATCTTAGTAGACTGTTCAAAACAAAAATTATAGTTATATTTACAAGATGTATTAAATATAAAATTTACAGTCAATATATGATTACAAAAATGCTTTATCCCAAAATATTCACCAATTTTAAGTGCTGTTCGTAAAACTCTACACTTCCATTAAACCTGTCATAAGATCTAAGTCATTTATATTTCACAGATATATGTTTAACAACGGACTACAAGTCAAAGAAAATTGAACACTGTATATTCTCCATAATAACTATGTTGCCTATTTATGGGTATAACTACACCAGTCTCTGCATTTCTTCTCTGACAGCTTTGGCTTGTTCCTCAAATTCTTTCTTTTTAGCATTCATAATCTTTAGCTAAAATATATAACATTACATGTATTTATATTTTAAACTGAATAGACAATTGGATGCATGACAGTTACATAATAAATGTTGAATCTGAAATACTTTATTGATATGGTGGATGAATGATGTTCATTTCATATTATAACAGAGTTGAGTCATAAAATATTGTGCGTATATAAACTGGATGTATATTTGATTCCTTTTCCATCATTTTTGCATATACTTACAACTTGGTTTTTCTGTCTTTTGACTTCAAGTTTCATGAACTGTTCAACAGTTAACTCTTCCATAGGTTTATCAAGCTTCAGGAAAGGACATTGTGGTGAATGTCTTTTGTGTTCTTCCCTGCCAGAAATGATAAAAATTGGGTAGAAGATAATATATTTCAAATACCTATAAGCTAAAAGCTTACTTTTCTCTAACAAAATTAGACTGATGAATAATCACTGACATAAAAGCTATTATTAACCATATTGGGAATAGGATGATCAAACATACACAGAACATGGCAGAGAAATTACTACCAGCTATTACTTCAAATCTGAAGTGTCTAAATCAAGCTGACATTGGAAGTGTAATTTGACAGGCAAACAAGAAAATGACAATAACTATAATGCCCATTAGAGCCAAAGTCTGTATAATGTATGGTTAAAAACAAGATTAAGGTACCATGGATCATCTGTAGGTTCCCAACCATCTAATTCTTTGAAGCACATAAAACAACACACTGCATCTGGTTCTTGGTCTGTAGGACAATGATAAAATCCAGCTTCTGCCAACTGAAATAACAAAAATAAAGTTTTAGTAAACTGATGTTTCCCTAAAGGTACATACCGGTATACACAGTCAAACAATATTCAAAAAATTGTAAATCAATTTAATATTTGAGTGCCAATTTACCAAGATTTTAACTTAAACAAATCAACAATTAGTGTTATCATTTGGTCCACGACAACACTAAAGTCAAGAGATTTGACCAGTAATAGTATCATAGTGCAGTGTCAGTGAGTATTAACAAGACAAATCGTCAAACAAAATATAACGACATGGACGTCATTTGTTTGACGATTTGTCTTTTTTTTTAATTTTAATAGTCACTGACGTTGCTGCGTTGCTTACTTTTTGAGGTGTGCATATCCAGTCATCATCAAACGGCCAGGTGTTAAAACTATGTAATCTAAATTCTTCCAGATGCATGTAGTAATCTTGTAGTCCGTTTGATTTTGTCATTGTGTTTTGTTGTAATAAATAATATTCGACATAAAAGTTGTTCAAATTTCCCTCTAATGTAGATGGCGTTAAACTGGATAGGATAACTCTTTGACTATAAATAAAGATCTAATCGTCCAGACAGAAATTTGGTGAAAGATTGTAAAAATGCGTATGGGTGATTTCTTCAACTTCACGCAAAAAAAAACGGATGACATTCTTCCCATCCAACCTAACAAACTATTTATATATACACAAAAAACCAATAATCATTTGAACCATCGTTTTGACTTTTTCTCAGATATCGTCTTTAGAAATCATAAAGTAAATTTTGAGAGACTAATTATTGTCGACTAAAAAACGACGAATCAAAAGTGATATTTCGCAAGGTATTTGGTTTTTGCACACGGCACTTGTATACATTGATAACAACTACAATCTGAAGAAAAGGCTTGACAGAATAATTTTTTCCCAAGGTATTATTTTGATTATAATATTGTCCTTTTCCATTTTTCGAATTTGACATTGTAAATTTTTGATTCAGGAGTATGAGACCTCTCGGACTGTATGTATTTTAGAGGTTATTTTGTCGCGCTTGATACATGTAGGCCTAATTGATAATATGGATATGTTCATTTTGCTTCTGACTTAAAATCAGAATGACTTTTTCAAATTTCTCTTTATTCCTTGTACAGTAGGCTTATCACTCTTTTCGTCGTTGAATTTAATTATTAACCCATGCAGTCTATAAATACTATTAAAACATGTAGATTTAGTACAAGAAATATAATATATCGTTAACTTGTGACATGTTACATGTCTTTAGCCATATTTAAATATGATTTATCCAGGGCCTAATTAACTGAAAAGGTTAAGGCTTCGTAATTTAGATCCTGTTTAGGCTTGGCTATCAAATAGAAATTCAAAATGACAATGAATACTGAGGTCATATTGGCCCAAGATCTAGACTTGATCAGTTTCAGATTAAAAAGTCTGTTGACTTTGTCAATATGTCCCTTGGCGATTATTCATGGATGATGAGAAAAGACTTATAGCCTAGCCTATATACACATTATGATTTGATACTATTCATATTGTCTTTAATGTTTAATATTTATTAGATAACTGTAAAGCTGAAAAATGTCGCAGCCACCACCTCCATATCCTGGTGATGAAAAAGGTAAAAATTGTTTTATTATCTCAAGTACAAATTAAACAGCAATATTGAGCAATCAGCTTATATTATTGATTTGTATTAGTTGTTATGAAGATTTAGAATTCCTATAAAAAAGCTTGTATAAGTGTACTGTCTTTTTGTTAATACTTATAGGATGCAAAAGTTTGAGCATCGTTTTCTTCCTATTTGAATACCGGTACTAAAATATTTGATTGTAGAATTGATATTGACTTATGATTGTATTAATATAAAAGCTTACATGGCCTATAATTACTATAAAGACAAATTTAGAGTACGAAATATATCTAATTGAAAGACATATTAATACATTGAATGGTTTGAAAAGCTGAAACAGGCATAGTTGGGTGAAGAGAAGCAGAGACATATTTAAGCACATCTGTCTCTCAAGACTGCTTTGATTGAGTTATAGGTTTAATTCAGTAGCAATAACACAGTAAAGGGTTTGTTTCCATTATATTTTAACCCAGGAGGGAATCACTGACACTTTGAAAAGTTACTCAGCCTATATGTTTTGTTATTAACTGACCCTACTATTCAAAAAATTTTGCTGGTTCTGGAATTACATGTATTTTGTATGATTTAACTTTACAGGTGGATCTTATCCTCCACCACCAAATCCATCCTATCCACCACGTAAGTTGAATTAATGATTTATAGAGATACCAAATTATTTCATTCTTTTACTTTAGTAAAAGGGAAAATATGACTTGTAGTTGTACAGATATATTTTCACTCATATTTAGCTACAAAATGTATCTTGGTATACATAGTCAAGAGATGATGTTCTCAAAGAGCTTATTTTAACTGTACTTGAAATTTCATTATGGTATAGGCTACATGAAAAGAACAAGACCTATTGTCCCTTGCCCAGTATATATTTTGAAATACCTATACCTATTCCACACACAAACATTCAAAAGTTTTCAAATACTGATAATCAAATGATATTAAAAATGAGTGTATTATGCATGTTCTTTGTCTTGTTAGTTTGTTATTCTGTAACTTAGTGTTAAATTATAGAATCTCTATGTGACTGCTGTAATGGGGAATCAAATTCTTCCGTGACTTCAAAGCTGTTATATAGTTATGATTGAATTAGAATAGTCAAGATTTTTCTATAAATATATTTGATTTTTTAAGTTAGTACATTTTTTAAAGTTGATTGCATTATTCAATAGTTTATTTTTATTGTATGATGCCAAGCCTATTTCTTAATGTAAGTCAAGTAGATTAAGCATGTTTCGTGTTTTCTAAGGATCAAAACCAATTTCTTTTAACCTAAAGGAATTATAGCATTTTTGTTTATTTAAAGATAATTGTGATATTAGATAATTTTAGATTAAGGCTGACATTTCCATAATTTCTTTGAAGAAAAGAAACCTCTATAACACATTATATTAGAAAGATTTTAAAAGGCTGGATTTGAATTTATTGAACGAAATCCTGTCAGTGTCAAATTCCTGTTCCAAAAGCAAAAAGAAATTTGTCCATGCGTTTAAAAAAATGTTTATAAAAAAGGGTATATATTATTTTGTATACCAGTACAAACCAAGAATGGGGCTTAAACCATTATTTGTATACATATTGTCAATTTCATATTATTGTGTATATATTAATACCATGATAGTCATATTGTTTATGGTAACATTATACTTGGTAAATTTGATATGAAATTTTATAACAGTCTAAATGCACTTTACTACAATACTTGAAAAAAGGTTTATGATCAATATGGAAAACCTGAAATATTATCTTCACATAGTACTTGGGGCATGAGGATAAGTCTATCTTAAACAAGAGGGGAATTTATTTCAAAAACAACTTAAGTGATTCAGTGCTTTAACGACTTTTAAATTGCAATAATACCTCTCTTAGATATAGGTGTCAAATAGTACCCTTTTGTAGACTTTATCATATTGACATTCTCAAAGAGCCACCCCCAACCAGAGCACAGGCTCATTTGTTACATCCAGGAAGGCAAAAGGCAAGGTTTCTGTTAGTATGAAGAAAAAAGTCTTGGTGTCTATCTTGGTCAAGTAGTTAGTAGTCAACAGACCTCTCCCTTTTTCCTCACTGAGTTCTTGTAAACAAACATTGCCAAATAATTGAACATACTTGTTATGAAAGGATAGCAGTAAGAATAAAAGTAGGACAGGACGAAGAGAATGTTTAGAGAGAGTTATAGAGGACTGTATATATACTCTTTATTTATTAGTATCTTTTTGTGTGGGAAAACAATTAAAGAAGATCCTTATTATTGCTCACATTAAAGGAATTTTAACAAGAATTTCTAAACTTTTGGGGAAACTGATGGCACCAATATGCACCATTCAAATTTTCGGTCACCTAAGTGTTAATGACATAGCTATGTGACATCACAGTTTATGAAGACATCTTGTCTTGTGTGTGTGTGTCATTGGTATTTATATAGTAAATTGGGGTCAAGTTATTGTACAATAAATGGTTGCTAACCAGTCAGGATTATTGTGAAATAAGTAGTTGATATTATGTAAATGAATAACTACTGTGCCAATTAATCAGTTAGCAATTTTGGCACCAAATAAGAGTTCATTCAAAATTCCATTTTGTTTGACAGCTAATAAGAATACATTTATTTAAAAAACAAGTTTCAGTATGAGCCCTGCCTTAGAAATTATATAAATTCCCCAAAGTCTAAGCACATAGTCTTATCATGATTCAAATTAAATCCTATTATTGTCAACAAAATTACAGATATATTTATCCCTTGGTGAAAAGTGGTGGGGGGAGGATGCCTGTAGGCTAGATTGGACTCTATTAAAGATTACATCTGCAAGTCTCTGAATGAAATAATTATCCTATGTATTGTAAAAGGTCAAACTAACACATTATCAATAATTGATCTATCAATGATAAAATGAACTGAGCAAGTATTGTTTGTCGTTTTCATGAATCTAATATGAATTTTTTATTAGAATTGATAATCTCGTTAGAGTGGCGTTAGAAATTTTATGTAAAAATACCTATAATATAGAAAACTATAAATGTTTTGTTTAAAGCNTGCGATTACATGTGTATGCAAACTCAAATG